GGCGGCGGCGGCGGCGGCGGCGGAGGCCGCGGCGGCCGGGGGGCCGTCGGTGGTGGCTGGGCTGCCGTAGCTGTGAGCAGTTGCTTTGCTTCCAGATCCTTTACTTTTATGTGCTCTCACATGTGATCTTCTCTCAGTCTCGCATTCATCGTGGCCTCGCACGGGCCCGGCAGGCGTGCCGGCCTGGCAGGCTGTTTCTTGTCCTGCATGGATTGTGAGCTCATCCCCCCTTGGCTTGGGCCGCTTTCAAGGCGGCGTGACAGGGCTGGCCAGGCGTCGGCTTTCGGGCCAAACGGTTTACAGTACCCGGGTTTCCCCGCAGCCGCAGCCTTGCTCCCAGTCCCGCGATGTTTACTACTCGCTCTCAGGTGGCATTGCAAGGTGTTTTGCGCCCGGTGTATGGCCCCCCGGCGGGGGCGCCGTTTCCTGGTAAGTCCTTGAGGGGCTGGGGGCCTCGCTCCGGCAGCTAGCGTGTGGTCACAACATGCGCTGGCGGCAACGCCTCAGACGCTTGCGGCATCTATGCAGGCGTCGTCGGTCTCTCGTGTAACTTCAGATGTTTCAAAAACAAGTCAGAATCATGGTGGCGCGCTGCAAGCTGGGAAAGGCTGGCGCCCCCGGTATGGGAAAGTTACACATGGCGATGCGAGCGAAGCACGACGCACGGCAGCGACGCCGTACAAGGCACCGGTCATCAGCCGCCGTTTGGCAGCGCGGGCTCCCCTTCCAGCTCAATGTCGCAGTACGGCATGCCCTCCACCGCCCCCTCGACGTCCGCCATGCGCACCTCCCCCCCGTGCCCGTGCGCGGGCTGGCCGGAGCCGGCTAGGGGGGCGGTGAGGGTGAGGACGAAGAGGCTGGTGAGGCGCGGCAACAGCGCCAGGTCAGCGCGCTGCAGGTGCCTCAGCCTGAGCGAACAGTGAGGCAGGTAGGAGGGGGGCGGGGGTCGAGATTCAGGTGGGCAGGCCCCATGAGCTGGGCCGGCCGGGGCAAGCGCATGGTCACGGCTAAGGCTGAATGCGAGCAGAGACGACGGGTGGACTGAAAAATGGGAGAAAGCGGGCTGGAATGGGTGGAAGGCGATGCCACCAGGCACCCACAACAGGCAGACAGGGCAGAATGACACGCATTTGTCATGTCTACTTGCGCGCGCCGACTGCAACCAGTGGAAAGGTGGGGTGGCGACGACCACATGGGAGGCGGAAAAGGGCATGCCGCCAGCAGGCGGCCCACCCACCTGAGCTTGAGCTGCTTGAGCCTGAGGGTGGCGAGCTTGCCCACACCGCCAACGCCGTGATCACACGGCATCAGCCGCAGTGTAGACAGGGCAGTCAGCTGCCCCAGGACCTGCGCGTTGCAGTCGCACATGTCACAAGTGAGCCAGTCACATGCCAGCCACACAGCACAAGGTGCAAGCAAGCTCCCGCATGTGTGAGTGTGCAGGGAGGCAACCACGTGGAAGGCGACCCACACCCCATCGGGGCAGGTGAGGGATTTCAGTGAAGGGCTGTGGTCCCTGCTGCGTTGGCGCGACCCTGGGCAACCATTAAATTGTGAGCTCCGCAGGTGCCGCCCCCGTGACCGTTGGAGCTCCCATCCCCCCCCCTCTCCCCCTTGTGCAGCTGCTGTCGCCTCCGGCCCCAGCGCTCACTCTCCGCACGGCAGCGCAGCTAAATCGGAACCGGGAACAAACCCCAGATGAAATATTCAAAAACCCGGACCGATGCACAAACTTCATGGGCAGCCGCTCCCACCTGCAGCTCCTCCATGCTGCCGCCGCGACCGCAGGTGCGCCCACCCCCCCACCTTCCCCTTGTGCAGAAGCTGCCGCCTCCGCTCCAGCGCTCCCTCTCCCTCAGCAGCGCAGCAAATGTGCAACCCGGGAACAAACCCCGGACAAACCGGGCACAAACCCGGCACAAACCGGGCACATACCCTGGACGGAACGCACCCAAAACCCGGACCAACGTCGAAACGCCGTACCAAACGACTCCCACCTGCAACTCCTCCATGCTGCCTCCGCGGGTGTCGACCAGCGAGAGGCTGTGCAGCTTCTCGGCCAGCGCCGGGGCCGCCGCGCGCAGCAGGCCGGCGGGGAGGGTGCAGAAGTGCAGGCGCAGGCTCAGCAGGTCCCCGAAATGCTCGGCGAGCCTGGGGCAGCGGATGGGGGGGTAGTGGTGGTGTGATGAAGGTGAATCGGGGGGTGATTGGGGGTGGATTGCAAAAGGATGCTGGTGCTGCACTGCGGGCGAGTTGATTGTACGTGTGAAGGAGAGGATACAAGATTGAGCAGGCCCATGAGACGAGAAAGACGCATCGGGGGCAGGCGGCTGGCCAACCTCAATGCAACCGCGCCGTGGCCCATCCTCTGTGCGCCCCAAAGCCGTCCCGGCCCAAGCCCAACCCCATGGGTCGCCACCTGTCGCCGGGGCCCCGCTGCCAGCTGTCCTCCCCCGCCTCTGACAGGTCAAAGCCAGTCAAACTCAGCGCCGTCAGCCGCGGCGGGATCTGCGCGAAGTTAATTTCCAGGCCAGGGCATGGTTGATCGATCGGTGAGCATAGCGCGCGATGAGGGACGGATTTGAGCCGTCTGGAAGCGTCCGTCGCAGCCGGCGAGCAGGCACGCGCGATGTCAAAGGACGCAGCTGCAGCGAGGGGCCGGGACGCGACAAGGCGGCGGCTGCAAGCGGGTCCTTCGCGACGGCGCGAGCATCGGGAGAGGCGCGCCCGGAGGGAGCAGGGCGCGCGCACCTGCCACCAGGCCAGGTGGCGCGCGGCCGCCGGGCGCGCGGCGTGGTGGGGGCAGCTGCTGATTGATAGGGAGCGCAGCGCTGTCAGCCGCGACATCTCAGAAATCGACTGCGGGGGGTGAGGGGTGGGTTGCAGGCGGGAAGGGTTGTGTGAGGAGGAGTGGGCTGTAGCGAGATGAAGGACAGGAGGGTCAATAATTGTTTGTGAGAGCGCCCTTCGTGCGCAGGGCAGCCCTCAACAGGGATGGCAGAGGAGCACTGCGGGCGGCAGTAGCAGCATTCGAAAAGAAGAGGACGCCTGGCGTCCGCCCGGATTGGCGCGTGAGCAGCCTTGCGGCGCCCGCTCCGCGCGTGCAATGCGGCGCCCAGCGCCGCGCGGCAGCCGGCCGAAGACCCGGGCCGCAGCGGCCGCCCCCGCCCCACCTCCGCGGGGAGCTCCTCTGGCGAGAAGTTATAGAGGTCCAGCGTGTTGAGGCTGCCCCAGCCCGCGCCCAGGGCCCGCACCACAGCTGGCGACACCTGGCAGGGGCCAGGAGCGCGCAGCGTGGGGGCGGCGCGGAGGGGTGACGCCCCCGCCGCTGCCTAGTGGCCCCTCGCGCTTGCGGCGAAGGCCAAAACGCCGCTGGGGTCTCTCGCCCCTACCCCGTGCAACGCGCAGCGCCGCGGATCCATGATCCAAAACGCAGCAGCACAAACGCATACACGACAGTGGAGCAGCAGGGGGCGCGTCATGGTGTGAACCCTGAGCCCTGCAGGGCCCACCAGCAGTGAGATGCCCTCGTAGTCGTCCCCCTCCTCCCTCTTGTCAAGCTGCAGCACCTCCAGCCCAGTCAGGCGGGCCAGGGGCTGTGTTGAGGGTTGTGGAATTGAGAAGCGGGGGTCAGGGGTCATCAAATGGGCCACCTCGCCCGTTGACTTGTTTGCGTATCAGAGGGCAAGTGCCGGATGCGTGTACTTTAAGTGTTTATATTCAAGCCAAGGATGCAGCCCCCCTGGCCCCGGGGCGTTGGGTGTTTGGCGGTGGTGATGAGGGCTAAGTTGCGGACCCGGAGTGGAAAGCAGACAGACGGCACCGGCATCACTCACCGACAGATCCAATGGGGGCTGTTGCTGCTGTTGCTGCAACTGCACCTGCACCTGCACCTGCTGCTGCTGCTGACCCGCCAAGCCGCCGCCGCCGCCGCCGCCGCCGCCGCCGTTTGGCAGGAGTGGGTGGGGGATGCCGCCAGCCTCCTGCAAATCCTCCTCAATAAAATCGTCAAGATCCTCGCTGCTGTCACTGCCAGCGTCATCAATGACGTCATCACCTTGACCGATGATGCCACCGCCCTGCTGCTGCTGCTGCTGCTGCTGCTGCTGCTGCTGCTGCTGTGCGGCCTGCTGCTGCAGCTGCTGCTGCTGCCCCGCCGCCGCCGCCGCCGCCGCCGCGAACGCCGGCACCATCGCCGCCGGAGGCGGCGGCGCGCCGGCGTGCAGCCACCACACGAGGGGCTGCGGCGCGTTGGGGGCGGGGGGCGGGCCCCATGCGGGTGCGAGTGCGCGTGCGGGGCCCTCCAGGACAAGCTCCTTGAGCCCTGACAGGTCAGCAAGGGACGCCAGGTGCTCCTGGCTGGTACATGGAGGGATAAGGTGCGCGTGAGGCTGTGCAGAGACGCTGGCGGGCGGGGTGGTGTGGGAGTGCGCAAATGTGCATGCGCGTGAGTGCATATGCGATGCACGCATTTGTGTGAGCGTGCGTGTGAGTGTGTGTTTATGTGTGAAGGAGTGAGTGCTTGATCAGAACTTCTGAGGGTCTGCGCGGGAGCAGGTGTGAAGTTGCCCCAAGAACTTGCCCCGGCCGGACGGCATGCACAGCGGGCGAGGATGGCCACCAGGCGCATGAAACATCGCGGCCCCAGCCGCCGGCACGTCCATGACAGGGTGTGAGCAAGCAAACAGGCGCGTGCGCGGTCGACTCTTTTGACGGAGGACGATCGCGCTAAGGCAAGCAGCCAGCCCGGGAGCCGCGGCCCCGCCCCCGCCTGAACCCCGCCGGCAGCTGGTTTCGCGGAAAGACGGGTGATTTTCATGGGGGCAGCGGCCTGTCTCACGTCGGGAAGAGCTGGTCAACGCTGTAGAGCCCGGTCAGCGCCCGTGGCCCGCCCGGCGGCAGCCCTGCAGCCGCTATGGCGACCGGCAGCTGCCTGACATCATCTAGGGAACAGGTGTCCAGGTACAGGTCCTGGGGGCAGCGGTTTGGGGTTTAAGCCAAAAGGTGAGATGAACAACAGGGTTTTGGGGGTGCAGAGAGGTGGGTCAGGTTGTTTTTGGTTTGTCGCGTTGATGCCAGGATGTGCAAGTTTATCAGACGGAGCATGAAAAATACATGTTGACGGGCTAGATGCACCAACTGTCTGGCAGGAAACCTGAAGCCGCCAGGAAGGAAGAAAAGAAGAGGGGTTGAAACGTCAGTGGCGAAAGTGACCCTAGCTCAGGGGCCCAGCGCTGCATTCGGCCAACCCCTCAGCGGGAGCCACCCACAGTGGTACCAGTCCCAGGGCCTAAACCCGGGCGCCACACACGAGCGCGCACCTGCAGCTTCGGCAGCCGGCTGAGGGGTGAGAGGCTGTCGACGTCTGATATGCCGATCTGCGGGTTGGTGCGTTCGTGAGACGCTGGGGTGAGAGCGGGGTTTCTGCAGCAGCCAGGGTGGAAGGATTCAAGGTAGGCAGGCTTGCAAGCACAAGAGAAGTAAGGCAGCCGGCTATTCAAGGGGCAGGTGTCTTAAAAGCTGGATTGTCGTGTGAGGTCGGGCGCGTTGGTGAGTGCGTGGTGGTGGTCGAGGGGAGAGGTCGAAGGTGGCAGCCACCCCACCAGCAATAAAGTGGATTCGCGTCAGCTGCAGCAAGCAGCTCCCAAAGCCTGGACCCCGCTCAACGCTTGCACATGTGGCACACACATCGTGCATACCTGCAGCGCTGTGAGGTTAGTGGCCGTGCTGAGCACAGTCAGTGCTTCACTCGGCAACTCCGCATCATACACCACCTGGGGCAATTCGTCAAGGTGATAAATTTCGAAGGGGTGGGGGGAAGAATGAATTTTGAGTTGTAGAATGG